ATTAGCTATGTACATGTTCACAGTGATACTTGTAATTGCAGAGCAATATCAGGGCATACATTCAACAGAGACTGGTCAAAATCCCATCCTCAATAACACCAAGTGGAATATGTCAACCTTAAGGAAAACATCTTGGGATCTAGATTGATAGATATTTGATTTGAGTTATTGTGTGAATATTAACACCACGATGCTAATTCATCCATCTGACGAGTTTCAAATAAGGTGAAATATATATATCTTTTATCCTACAGTCTCAAATATAGTATAATCCATTCTGTGTAATTGAAAGTAGTCAGCGGTGGGTTTATAGTTAACTCAATAATAGGACTAATACAATACGAACAGTACTGTGAAAGCGTGTAATAGAAAACAAACCAGCTTCTAGATGAAGAGAACATTGAGGAAGTGGATAGGATATACACTACGAAAATCATCAAACTGCATTACGAGGCAAGCACTTACTTGGAATCATGAAGGGAAGTGGTAAAGAGGGAGGCTAAAAAACACACTGCGACGTGAATCGGACGAATGGCAATTAGAAAGAACTTGAAAGGATTATCCAAGTTAGGGTTGGATGGCGAGTGGTGAAGGGCGGCCTATGCTCCTTCACGAGGCGTAACAGACCTGAGTAGGTAGGTAAGTGTATTCAATACATTGTTTTAGTTTTCCATATAACATGTAATTAGAAAAAAATATGATTGACTGATAAAATCAACATTTAAGACTGTTGATCACCCGAACGTTCTTCTACATTCATTAGCCATGTATTAATGTTTTAATGCTCTTGCAATTCAGTGTGATATAAACGTGTACTGTAGGATAAATGTCATTCAATCAGGAACATATGTGGGTCAGTTCGTTTCCACACTAATCATTCTCTTTCTTTTGATTTTCTTAATCTTCTTGCCTCCAAACTTTTGACTTTCGACTGTTTATACATACTACTTATATTTATCGACATCAGTAGTACACACCACGACAGTATCAGTAGTCATTGAAATGACAATATGATAACAGAAGAAATAATGGATTTATTCAGTAAAAATAGTATAAGATAATTATGAAACTGAAGATCTAGTTGAAGACAATTAGTGAATCCATCTATGGTAAGAGTATGAATTTTTTCAGGTTAGCGTTTTTTAGCGAGTTAGTTTTCTACGGGATGGGGTCGCTAACCCCATGATCTGGCTCTTCTATCGCACACGCAACAACAAATGCAGGAGAAGACGACCAGTGTGGCAGCAGCAGTAGGTCTCAATGTACACAAAGGGAAAAGCAAGCATGCACCGACCCAATCACAATTGACGGAGAGGATTTGAAAGATGTAAAAACCTTTACATAGCTCGGCAGCATCATTGATGAACACGGTGGATCTGATGCAGATGCGAAGTCGCAGATCGGCAAAGCAAGAGCAGCATATTTACAGTTGAGGAACATCTGGAACTCAAAACAACTCTCTGTTAACCAACACCAAGGTCAGGATTTTCAATACGAATATCAAGACAGTTCTACTGAATGGGGCGGAAACCTGGAGAACTATGAAAGCCATCATCCAGAAGGTACAAGTGTTTATTAACAGTTGTCTACGTAAAATGTTTCGGATCCGTTGGCCGGACACTATCAGCAACAACGTACTGTGGGAGAGAACAAACTAGATTCGATTGGAGGAATAAATCAGGAAGAAGTGCTGGAAGTGGATAGGACACAGATTGAGGAAAACACCCAACTGTGTCACAAGACAAGCCCTCACATAGACTCCTTGATGCCAAAGGATAACAGGAAGACCAAACAACACATTACGTCGAGAAATGGAGACTGGCATGAGGAGAATGAACAATAATTGGATAGAAGTAGAAAGGAATGTGCAGGATAGAGTGGGTTTGAGAATGCTGGTCAGCGGCCTATGCTCCATTAGGAGTAACAGACGCAATTAAGTAAGTAATTAAGAGTATGAATACTCAATAGTATTTATTGTCTATCCTAGAATCCAAGTAATTTGATGCATAACGGCGAGATTATAATTTATGGACTAGCCAATCACGGTATAAGATGATAGGTCTTGGATTATGGCGCAAAATTCAATCTTCCATTTGTCTAAAAAGCCTCATGGAACTTTAACCAATGTCAGTTCATGATGAAAACCCTAAATCTAATTCCTAACCCTTAACCATCAATTGTATATCAGAATCCTTATTCTCCACACAGATTTATAACCATCATTTAGTCTTACTAAGTAGGTCAACACTCACAAGGTCACATTGGCATCGTTCCAGCATCGTCCATAAATTAAAGTCTCATCGTAATTTGTTATGTTTCAGAAGAGAAATGATAAGCTTATACGCAACATGAATGTTATTTTAGTGAACAGAACACGAGTGGGGACAATCGAATGTAGTCAGCACGCAATGACAGAGTTACTTGGTAAAATAGAAAAACCATATAGTAAATCGTTAATCTCCAAAATATCATTTCATCATATCAAACCGGACTGTTGCTGTTGCAGTCATCAATCCATTGTCTCACATTTCATGGTTCATGCGTTTTCTTACAAATTGCATTGCGTTCTCGCTCTTCCATTGTTGATCTTTCCCCATCTTCTGCTGCCAGACAATACGTTCTTTAACTGGCTTCATATACTACTTATATCAATATAAGTAGCACGCACCACATTATCACTTTTTAGGTACTACCTATTAACGGTTCATATTGTTCTGTTGTTTAAATATAGGAGTGGATATTGATTACTTAGTTATGCTTGTTACATCTAGTAGAGATTAGGACATCAACCCGAAATCACCTACCTACTCTATTCTGGTAAGCGTATACTGATAATTGTGATTCAGGTTAATTGATATCTGTATATGTTGACAAAACTATCACTCAGGCGTTATTTTTAAACCACTGAAGTCATATTCCGTGGTTTATACTTTCAAAGTCAATTAATTCAATGATACAGTACGATATCATCTCATTCTATCGGTGGTTATCTCTTTCATTCCCGATTAGTGTGAGACATTCCTTTGGCGTTCCCACATTTTTAATGATTCCTCTTTTGATTTCTTGAGAAAAATTTGCTTCAATTTGAGTTCGTAATTATTTTAATATGTGGATTCATGAGTCGATTAAAGTTAGACCAACCATAGAAAATCTAGAAACACTAGACGGCCGTTCCACCCCAGTATGGGACTCTTCAACAGTGAGCATCCACGATCCAACACCAAACGAACTCGTACACAGGACCTTCGTACAAGTGCGCGAACGTTTAACTCCTAGATCACTGAGCCTGCATCCAGTGATGTTAATGATTAACTTCAATCGATCCATGATCTTGTGAAACACTTTATCCATTGTTTTCGCTCTACACGGATTGGATTCTATTGGCCACGGCTTCGCACTAAAACTCAAGGAAATCATCTTGTAGCCAATCATTAATGAGCACATGATGATTATGATCAGAATGAGGTTTATGGAGATTGTTTTAATTTTAATAGTTGAATTCACGAGTCGATGTGAACTTGACCACCACTGAAAACTTGGAAGCAGTGGACGGCGTTTTCGTCCTAATATGGGACTCCTATTAAAATTATCAAGATCTCTACGAACCCCATTCTAATTACAATTGTTTATTATCATAAAAAAACATATGAACTGTTGTAAGATCATGAAAACAAAGGGTTAACTGAAGGAAAATATTTCATTGTATGAGATTATACCAAATAATTCGAGCTTATGAATCGTTGTATACTGATTAAACGACTGAACGGAACCCTGGTTGCTTCCATATACAGAAGTAATCGGTTTAATCTGGTTTACAGTAATAAGTGCACACATGAAACTACTCACTTACGCCTGTTACCCCTCATGAATGAGCATAAGCTGCACACCAGCATTCTCCATCCAAGCATGTACTGGGAAATCCTTTCCAGTTGTTATTCATCGTTTTCATGTCTACTTTCAATTGTAGACCCACATTGTTCTTTGTCCTCCCTCTTTTCTGTTCCCCTTCAGCATTCCATCATGTATGTTCTATTCACTACCAACGTCGTTTCCTAATTTCTTCATTATCTGGAAGTTGGTTGGTTCTCTCCCACAACACATGAAACTACCTTCATCAATATTAAAAAACTTACAATTGACCACAAAATCCTTTCATTTTATAGATTATGTACTCTACTTATTCAATTTCTATCAATTTACCAGGCTTTTTAAATTCCCGCGTGTATAACATTGAAGTTGTAATCTCATAGCGTATTTATCCTTTATTTCGAGAACTTCAATACAATAACCATGGAGTTAAAACCATAGTGACAGTTCAGTATTTTCCTGAATTTCACTGTCAATAATAATGTGTTCAATTTCTAAGGTTTGTTGAAGTTATTTAAAGATGATAAGTACATTACACTCTCTATTCAACTACGCATACGCTTTAATTCAGTAAAGAAAATAAGCATACAAATTATGTGAAATTCAGCACAAGGTAATCGCTTTAGCTGGATAACCATTGAAGGGCTAGATATCTTATTCTTATTAGTATGAGATTTCTTAGAATTGCACATGCCATGAGAAGTTATTGGCTAGCTACAACCAATTCAACCACATCTCCATAATCACTCGACGTCTACTTAATTTTTAACAAAAAGTCAAACTACTTACAAGTAGTTAAAATTTTCTGCAAAAATATTGTGCTCTTAAGGTTATTTCATTGAGTTATTGGAATGAAACAAACGATTACACTCTTGTGTTTATTACAAAACTAACTAACAATCCTGTACATTTACATCCAGCAATTCCAAAACTAGTCTGTAGGATAGTGATTTTGAACAGTGATCTAGAAATAGACTCATTTATCTAGGTCTTAGGTTCAAATCTCATGGGACAGGATCGTGGATACGAACTATTGATGAATTCCATCCACAATAGGACAAAACGACCGTCCAGTACTTTCAGGTTTTCCATGATGATCTAGCTTGTGATTCCCAATAAAACACTGGAGTTAATTTTCAATGACAAAATTTATTTAATAGTTCATATAAAAACTCAATTCAATAATTGTACAGATAAACATTCATATTTTATCTGTTCCATTGAGTAAATATAACAATAAATGAAAACAAACAATTAAAACATAATAGAATTTTGTTTTGAAAAAAAAAAGGAAATCTCAAAAATAAATGGTTCTATGGGAAACACACACACACAGATACATACATACATACATACATACATGCAGGCATGCATAGATACATAGAATCAGGTAATTCAGTGAAGTGATAGAGAAAATAGTAACTCGATAAATGTTGACCACTGGTTTTCTAACGTCTACAACAGCATAAAATATCAAGTAAACAACTAAAGACATTGTAACAACATGAACAGACGAGGATTATAATGAGTACCAAGACAGAAGCACATATTGTAACAGCAAGTGGCCACCAACTGTAATGAAAATAAAAAGTAATAATAATGAGATAAGTGAAAATTTAAAATAGAACACAGATTGTTTAGTTTATTGATCTGATTACTTACTTACTTACTTACTTACGCCTGTTACTCCTCGTGGAGGAGCATAGGCCTAAAACCATCAATCTCCATCCAACCCTGTCCTGGGCACGACCTTCCAATTTTTTTCAATTTACTGTTGATCCTTTTCATGTCTGCTTCCTCTTCTCGACGTAATGTGTTCTTTGACCTTCCTCTTTTCCGCTTCCATTCACGATTTCAAGTCAGGACTTGCCTCGTGATGCAGTTTGGTGATTTTCGTATTATATGTCCTATCCAATTCCAAAGTCTTTTCCTAATTTCCTCTTGCAGATGGAAGTTGGTTCGTTCTCTTCCACAGTAGGCTGTTGCTGATGGTATCCGGCCAATGGATGTTGAGTATCTTGCGAAAACAACTATTTATAAATACTTGTACCTTTTTGATAGCAGTTGTAGTGGTTCTTCAAAATTCAGATCCGTATAGTAGAACTGTTTTAACGTTCGTACTGTAGCTCTTCTCGAGTTACTGCCGGTCCCAAGCCCAGATAAAAGAGGAGGGTTGGCCATGGGGTTAGCGACCTCATCCCGTACAAAAAATAACTCGCTAAATAAACGCTAGCCAGAACAAAGGTTACGTGATTAAATAGAATGGGAGTTGTAAATGTTTGAAATGCCAACTATCGATCGCTTAACACGAAATCTGGAGATTAAAGATTCGAATTTATGTTTGAACATGGATGGATACAAGTGAGAATTCCTTGACTCATGAGGAACATTAATCCAGGGCTTATTCACTTATGCCAATCAATGACCAATTTAATACTCTTTAATATTTGAAGTTTTTGCATCAGTGAATTATCTTAGTTAAATAGGAAACATTAAACAATTGTCTCATCTTAATATAAAATTTCTTAGCAGTACTGATGCAAAACTGTACACTTTACGGATGAAACTCAAAACATTCAAGTATCTCTGAGAGCGGTTAATCCTGATTTGGATATCTAATGTTTAACATTTTCAACTTCTATCAATCTGTGATATTATTGTTATAACGTGTGACCGCCGATTAATGTGCAGTGACTGATCGATCCGATCAATGACGCATAAAACACGTGCGTGTAATGTACAGTCTTGATTGGCCCTGCTTTGTGCCTAGCCCAGCCAGTTAGGTCCAGAACACAAATCTCAGCCTCAGCAATATGAATCATTATATTTCAAACATACTGGGTTTATATACGCCAGACAAACAGACCACATCGTACCAATAAAATAGGAAACAAGATTTGTACAAGAGTTAGCCGAATGTGTCTGTGAATGTGGGAGATCGTCATTGATAGACGGGGCATAATTCAAGAATGGCAAATCGGAGAATAATAGTCTGTGGGTCAACATAAAGCTCATAATAAGGGGAATATGAATAGTTTAGTTACATAACAAAGAAACGATAAAAATATACGCATAGTATCGGTCCATAAATGGATCCCAAAAATTACCATTCATTATTCTCATTGGGATGTAACAATAATTTAGATATTTTTTTCATCTCATTACTGACTAAATACCCTAAAAACTCATTTTGTTGAAGTCAGCAATGTAATGTCACTATGATACTTCATATTCAACAATTGCCTTCAATACTTTATGATATGTGATTTTCAAAGTGTTATATCCCGATAAGCATAAGGAATAGTAACTTTTGGGATCTATTTCTGGACTAATACTATCCACGTATTGTTTTATTGTATAGTTACTAAGTAACTAAACTATGCATATTCATATTCCTCTTATTGTGAGCTTTATTTTGACTTATGAACCATCATTATATGATTTACCATTCTTGAATTATGTCTAGTCTATTAGTCACTACCTCCCTCATTCACAGCCACATTTGGCTGATTCTTGTACAAATGTGTATTTCCTATTTTATGGTACGATGTAGTCTGTTTGTCTGGTGTATATAAACCCAGTATGTTTCAAATATAAAGATTTTTATCTCAGAGGCTCGGAATGGTGTTCTGGACTTAACAGGCAGGTAGGGCTAGGTGGGAAGAAGGACTGATAAAGATTCTAGACTGCTGGTACGGGTTGTCTACATCATTGATCCGATCGATAAATCATTGTTTTCTAATTGAAGGTATCATCATGTTATAACTTAATAGGACATAGGGTACAAGTTATAACATAAGGTTTTATTTTTATGTCATCTAACAATATTTTTTCGGATATACTCTATTACGATTTAACTCAAATGATAATTATATCTGCCTAACTAGTTTGTTTCAGCGTTTATATTCACAAAGGGGACTGTGCGAACAATTAATCATGTTGAACTTAACAGGAGATGAGTTACTATGTACTTAATTGTGACATTTTACATTATTCATTGTAATAAAAACTGATTAGTAGTGAGATTAGATGGTAGTTGAAGGTAGTCGACAGGAAACTCTGGACTCGTGTTTCGTGCTACTTGGCACTCGTCAGTAAGGCGTACCTATAATGTTGAGGGAACTGGTGCTCCCTGAAGAATTCGATCCCGTGTCACCCAGCTTCACAGTCAGAGACGCTACCACTGAGCTATCCAGGCCGCTACTGACCTGTAGGACTGAGATGTAATCACAATTGATTGATCACTGGGTGGTGATCAATGTCATGTGTGTCAAGTCCTTATTTAGTGCGGATCGAATGCTATCGACCATGTTGCAATGATCACCACCCTGTGATCAGTCAACTGTGACTGATTAGTAGTCTTTGCCAAGTTCAGTAAACTACTAATGAGAACTCATGAAATCAAACAGATTCATATTATTCTGGTTCAATTATTAAACAGTCGTCTTTTTTCTAGTGTAGGATTTCTGAATATTGACTACTAGCCATCATATAGTCGGTTGAATACTAAACTTTCATAACTTGATATCAACATAATACCTTCATATCTATATGAAGCTATCATCGCATAGATTATTGTCTTACTGTTGAGTTGGTTGTTTTCACGAATCTCGATACTGATAGTTTGCATCCAATCTATTATTGGATAAATTACTAAACTCGGCTACTAACCAGATCTCAGTAGTATGTTCAAGGAAAGAGTATAAATGCATTTTCATGATAACAATAAGTCAGGTTCATATTTTCAGGAAAGGGGTTTTATGGATATTGTAGTAATCTTTAATGGTTGAATTCATGAGTTGATTAAAGCTAGACCACCATGGAAAACCTGGAAGCACTGGACGACCGTTTCATCCCAGTATGGAATTGTTAGATGCCATCTCAGTAATCTAGAGGTTAAGCGTTCCGGAGTGAGATCGAAGGTTCTGGATTCGAGTCCTCTTGACGTGGGATCGTGAATACACACTGCTGAAGAAATTATACTAGGAAAAAACGGCCGTCCAGTGTTTCAAAGTTTTCAATGGTGGTCAAAATTACATCGGCTCGTCAATTCAACTATTAAAATTAACACAATCTCCATAAACCTCATTCTGATCATAATCATCATGTGATCACTGATGACTGGCTCCAAGATGTTTTCTTCGAGTTTTAGTGATAAGTTGTGACCAATGGAGTTCAATCGTTGTCGGTTAGAGACAGGTATCTACCTCAGACAATGGGATGAATAGTTGCGCAGTCATTCATGGATCGATCGAAGTTAGCCATTAACATCACTGGATGCTGACTCAGTGATCTAGGAGTTAAACGTTCGCGCACGAGTCCGAAGGTCATGTGTTCGAGTCCGTCCAGTGTTAGATTGTGGTGAGTCACATACTGGGGTGGAACGGCTGTCTAGTGCTTCTAGGTTTTCCATGGTTGGTCTAACTTTAATCAAGTCATGAATTCAACTATTTGGTTCATATATGTTCACTTTTTAAATGAATCTAAACAGACACACACACATACACACACACACAAAAATTATGTTTCAACAAATAAATACTTTACCGGAATTGTTTACAACATGCCGGTTTATCAGAAGGATCTTTACAGCAATGTGTTGAATATAGGAATGTATTGCCAACATCACAGGATCTACCATCTAAATATATAATGAACATATTGAATAGATATTCATTAGTGATTATTTTAATATAACGATTATTACTTGTGTCAGTTATTTAAATCTTCCTATTCACTTTATGGATGTAACAGTAAAAAAAAGTCCCCAAAATCAGTAGCTCTGTAAGTTTTCAATATTGAATGCTGACCATATTAGTTTTAATGGACTCACCTAGCTGAAGGCGCTCTGTCATGAATCTGCACCAGATCAGGAGTGGGAACGCCATGCTCAACATCTATTGCAATCGCTAGCCAGATTAGAGCAGACGATTCTCAATATATTGATAGCCTATGAAATATATCTTCGAACCTCCTCACTTCTGATTTTTGATTTCACTTGGTGGGTACAATTCATAGTAGAAGGGGTTACTGGTTAAAGCGTTGTCAAACTCCAAATCCCTGTAGCATCTTCATGAACTGTAAATGATCTGCCTTTTTTTGAAATATGTACCCTCTAAGTGATTAATTCAATGTTCAAATGGTTGTGGACGGAGTAGAAGAAGATTTAACTTAACGGGCTTCCATGTCTAGTAGCAGTGTATCACTAACACTAAACAGGAACTCAAAGCATACTCATGCTAAAATTGAGTTATAAAGATTATCAATAGAGTTGGATAATGGTTGCTGGTGGAATTTTTGACAAGTCAGCTAGATATATTGACTCTCCGTTGCTAATGTTTATGTCAATATTCTCATTACTTTTCACTTTGAATATCCAACACGTTATTCACTTATCTACTGAGTGGATAACACTTTCGGCATTTGAAGTAGGAAGTATTAGGTTCGAATACCAGGGTGTATTTACCTTCAGCTGACGGGTCCTAAATAGAATGTAAAGCTTGTCCTAAACCTCACTATCAGCTATTAATAAGTTTCTTTTTTAAAGAACGTAGAGAGAAAGTGAGAGAAACAGCTAGAAGCACAGATAACAACAAGCACAACTCTAGCGTATATATACAGTACAAAAAGGTCCTTGGGAAATGTCACAAAATGGCATATTAAAAGATACAATGAACCAATGACATTTAAGATCCTTCCAAGTGGGAAATACAATCTGAAGGTAAAAATGGGCACCTCTGACAAGAACACAAGAAATTCATATTTCCGACATATAAACTTACAAAAATAAAACATTTACTAAGTGATTTCTAGGGATCTAACATCTTCAACAATACGACTGTAACGGAAGGAATACACTTTTTGTGATGTAGTCCAGTATGTCTGCATATAAACTGATGAATAATAAAGACTCTTCTACTATGTTTGTTGATTTATTCTCAAAACTGTGGAAAAAGGTGTGTGTCAGAAGGAATATTAGGAATTAAGACGACCTAGATCTCAACTTAAAGTAAATCTTGCCAGTCGAATTGTATCCTTAGATAGAACATAGGAATCTAGACAATAGACGAAATCTTATATATGAGGTAGAGATATTCACTGGTATTCTGATTGAATACTCTTCTCTAGATATTGATTAGCGTTACATTGCTGGTAGGCGGCCTATGCTCCTCTACGAGGAGTACCAGGAGCCGGAATGTATGTACATTCAAAATAGTAACAATCTACCATATTTTATGGATCATAATGAACAACCATATAGTTCGCCATTGACTGAAGTATATCATCAAGTGAGAACAGGAAAGAGTAGAGGGATAAGACCATTAATCACCAGAAAAATATTGACTAAAGATATGTAAAGTAATTTTGTAATGGCCATGTCCGTTTAAATTAGGTATTGCAGATGTTTTATATATAAACTATCCAGCTTAAAGAGAATGGTACAAACAAAACCATCTTGCTAAGTTATAAATCTTCGTTATCAACTCAAAATCTTGTTAGTCCTTAGAAAGATAGTTATGAAGCGATTTTATTCTCATATTGTAAGGGAAAACAGAAAGTGTATACATTGAGCCATGTTACCCACAGTCTCCAGTCATTGATTACGATAGTGACGCATAACCCAACCAAATAGTCTTCAACTAACAACATGGCTCAGATTTCTTTCTACTCTTCAAATTTTACGATTTTTATGAATGTTATATCCCTTGGAAATTTAACTCGTATTCTATTTTTTGAGACTATTCAACTCATTTGAGAAACTGTTCACCGTACATAGTATTGATTAAGGGGTTTCTAAGTAGTAGATAACACATGAACATCAAACAGATTTAATCTAGGGAAAGAACTTTCTGTCAACTGTTTTCATACCGTAAAACCTAAAGTAGAATATAGTTATTTCAGCAAAAGTTGTGTTATAATCCATAAATATTTAATAAACGATGACATTTCCATTCAAATATCTGACAGTTCATAAGATCCAGTTAAATTTTGATACATTTTATCGTTTAACTACTCATAAGTAAACAATTTTGGTTATCTAAAAATATCTGCAACATTCAATTATTCTACTATCCATCACCCAAAAGAAATCATATTTCTGAAATTTTTATATCTTTAAATGTTAAGAGAAAGAAACGAGATGATATGTACTACCTCCTATAAGTTGATACAACATATGATATGCTAAAAAATATGTATTTCAGTGTGAGCGTGGTGGCGTAAGCCTGTAATCTAACTACTTGGAGGCCAGGGTGCGGGATTTCGTGGGACCGGGAGTTTGGCAATATGGGTGCTCATGTTGATCGGGCGTCCACTTTAAGCACGGCGGCGATATGGATGACCTGTCGGAGGGTGGGTCGTCCAGGTCGTCTAAAGAGAGGCGAACCAGCCCAGGGAGGAGACCCGGCAGGCAAAAGTCCCCGCGTGGTGCGGTATCATAAAAGCCCCCAAATGCCCTGGTATGGCCGAGAGTGGAAACATTCCGTTCTTCCCCTCGCAGTTCCCCCACATGGCCACGCGTATATAGCCTCTGCCAGGGAAGTCCTACTCATTGCCTTCTCGTGGCGGGGGTATTGTTTACGAAAATGAGAGGACCAAAAGCGAATGTCCGGTGCTTTAACCGGATTCCAAACTAATGGTGAACATTGGCTCTAGTATCCTGAAGGAGAAAATGGCATATTAAACAATTGTTGGTGACCGGCTTCCATGGGACTGCATCTCCTTACGATGCTCCACTACCTTATGGATCAGACCTTCAGATCGAAGGCTCCGGGTGTGACCGCCTAAGAAAACCATCTGCTTCGGTTTGGGCACCCGGGCAGTATCACAGCCCTCACACATATCGAATGAGATTTGTGTGGCGCATATGTATTTGATGCCTCGTTGTACCAACATCTATGTGTTAAAATAAGAAATAAATATTTAATATGGGTATTTTCATTCTGAATATCTTATTTTCAGAATTATGTGAGATCGAATGTTGGACAAATGTATCGTATTTCTTGTCTGTATGATTACTGAAAACTGCTACATTGAAGCTCTGTGAAAGATTTGTTATTTATAAGTGTGGCGGACACTGGAATTTTTTGTCACAAAGCCCCCAATAATCTTCCTTCGAGTATGATATTAAGTTAAACTTGATTGTTTAATGGTTAGTCCTTTCTCGATATCCAGATGATGAGTCTCAAATAGGACGAAACCCACATCCTGCATTTAATTGCTAGCCATTATCTATCTTTATTTATAATGCTTGTGAATTAAGACAATATCTAAGCAATACGTACAATATATATATATATATGCCAATAAGAGACTGATCAATCGTAGTCCTAAACATCAGTGGGAACATTCAAATAAGATCCATTAGTGATTGAAGTCATGAAAATGAAAGTTACAGAAAGATGCAAAACTGATTAACAATAAAGGTAATGTATCTTAACAATGTGCACTACGAGCTTTAAATCTTCAAACCATTAAGTTATGAATGCGTACTACAGAGAAATCTAATACTCAAATAGAACAGACCTTCAGTGGAACATAAGTTTCAAAAGTTGTTTAACTAAGATAGGCTAGTGACAGAAAACAATATAAAGCAACTTGTCAATATCGGGTTGTGGTGAGTGTTGATGTTATGATTGAGATCATGATTAGATCAATGTTAGACCACCATTGAAAACTTAAAAGTACTAGACAGCCATTTCGTCCTAGTACAGCACTCACTAGCTGTACACATTCACGATCTCACACTAAAGGAACTCACGAACATAGGACCTTCGAACTCGAACACACAATCACTTAACCTCTAGATCACTAAGCCTGTATCCAATGATATTAATCACTAACTTCAATCCATCCAAAATGTTACGTAACCATCAAATTTCTTATTATTAATAAACTGATCAATAAATCAAAATAATTAAGGCCAAGGTAACGGTAACGACAGGAAGTACTTCTTTTGTACGCATAGTTCTGGTTTAAGCTCTTGGATGGTAAGAGCTTCGGCTATTTTTAAGAGTTGGATACGAAGAAATCTGGGTAGATTTGAACGAATCATATAAACAACCTTAAAATGAAATTGTGGATCTATAGAATGATTACAGTGGAGCAAGGTACATTGACCGTAGCCAGCGCTCGCTTTCAACTCGGCTACAGGAACATATCTCAGCTTAGTTCTATAAGGATGAAAGGAAAGCAGTAAGGAGTTCTATGCTTGAACATCTCATCGACTGTAATCATTCTACTGATTCACAAATTGATTTTAAGATTATTTATATTGATTCGATCAATAAATATAAATCGATAATGAACAATTTTCAATCAACCACATAAATTTCTTTTAAAAGGTTGAATTGAATTGATCCATTTATATGATGATTAGTACAACTTGATCTTCAAACTGAGGTCATTTACTAATCAATAATGATCATTTCGTACTAATCAGAAATAGAATGACTTTAGAACATTGAAGTAGATTCGATTGGAATGTGATGCAAATGTTACATAATAATGATTTCATATCAAGTTTCTTGATTTTATGAGGGGGTAGTTGACAATGGGAATAAGAGAATAGGATGGGAACTTCTTCGACACTATGGTGTAATTACAAAGTGATGCATAGAAAATAGCTGACAAAAAATGCATTCTAAGTGAGAATCGAAATTAGATAAGGCTGTCTATTCTCACACTTCCTCTTTGTTCTAGTGGTTAACTGGACTATGAATACTTTGACATTTCATGAGAAGCACGAAATACAATGGATAGGCTTGATGCAGCTAGACGATTTGGAGTTCATAGATGACATGACCCTACTATCCCATACACATGAACTAATGCAGACTGACACAACTAGTGTAGCAGCAGGTTCTACATCAATAGACCTCAACATACACAATGGAAAAGGCAAGGTCCTCAAGTGCAACATAGAGAACACCAATCCAATCACACTTGATGGCGAAACTCTGGAAGGTGTGAAATCTTCCACGTATCCTGTCAGTATCATCGATGAACATGAATGATCTGATACAGACGTCAAGGTAAGGATTGACAAGCCAAGGACAGCATTCCTACAGTTAAGGAAAATATAGAACTGAAAACAACTATCTGTCAACCAATACCAAAGTCACAATCCTCAATACGAACGTCAAGACAGTTCCACTGTACGCAACTGAAACTTCGAGAACTACTACTACAATCATCATCAAAATGGTACAAATATTTATAAAAAACTGTCTACACAAGATACTCAGTGTCCGTTGGTCGGATACCATCAGCAACAACATACAGTGGGAGAGAATAAACCAAATTCCAACTGAATAGGAAATTAGGAAAAAACATTAGAAGTGAATAGGATATACATGACGGAAATGATCAAACTGCATTACATGACAAGCACTAACTTTGAATCCTGATGGCAAACAGAAAGAAGGAAAATCAGAGTATACCCTACGTTGAGAATTGGAAGTAGACATGAAAAGGATGAATAGCAATTGGAAAGAATTGCTTTGGACAGAGTTCAATAGAGTGCTGGTGTTAGGCCTATACTCCTCCATGAAGTATAAAAGGCATAAGTTTAATTGTAAAATGTATCACATCTTAATATTCAATCGAAATGTACGTCCATACAGTTAATGAGTCCTAAATAGGATGGAACACTTGTCTTCGACGTCAATGTTAATCATTATCCAACTTTGTTTAAGCAAATAATATTTGTTACTATTCAGTGATCAGTGATGATGTTAGAACTCAATCACACTCTACTAGTAGCATTTTAAACAAGTAATATCAATCCCCTTGGAACTACATATTCACTAGACAGACTAAATATTATTCAGATGCCTTGAATTATCAATCAAAGAATGTGGTTATACTGAAGTTTCAATAAATGTTCCAATACTAGAATAGAGGCAATGAAATTATTGATAACATCTGGTTCATAGCTATTATTACTGAATTCTTTGGATCGATTGGTTAGTTTCAAGAGGAAATCTCTGGAACCATGACTAATGGGGAAAGGTACCCACCAAAGACAATGAAAGATGACCACATAGTGTTGTGGATTAGCTGAAGTTATATCTACGCATCATTGAGTGTCATTTCAATGGTGTAAACAGAGAGAGAGCACTTCCGTACTAGACTTAATATCGTTACTTCAATTCCCAGTTGTTACAGAATCATGGATATACACTACTAAAGAGTCTTATCCTAGAATGAAACAGCTGTTCACAATTTCCATGTTTTCTATGATTATCTCACTTAAATCACTTCATGATTATTATTATTATTATTACAGATCTAGTTTATCATTTACAAGTGATCCCATTAAGTTACATTATAATCTCATCTTATGATTCAATCGTAGGTGTACAGGTGACCATGAAGTCATTTTAATCATTAGAAAAGAAGAAGAAGAAGAAGAAGAAAGAGAAGAAAACGAACGAAAGAAGATCAAATTGAGAAAATGAATAATGTCCAAAATTCTATTCATCTATCATAATTTAAAATGAAATTGTATCCAACTATAGGATCTTATGAATTACATTACATTACATGACATGACAACAACAATAATGATAGTTACTATGGTATTTTATTTAACTTTGTACGATAGTCATGTTATGTGTATAATTAGTTTCAAATGATAAGTGAATAATTGATTTAATGAAGAATAAAATCTTTTCACAAAGGGGGGGGTCTTGTCGAAATTGTTATATAGATATATAATAAAACCCTTGTGGGTTAGAGTAGTGCTAGGTTTGAAGTGGTTACGAGTTCACTTAATCTGCGAACGAGAACAAAGACTCGGTGACCAAAGATCAATAAGCTAGCTATTCAATGTGTCCCAGCCCCGCTAACTGGAGGAAGAAGTCGATGCTTGAAATGGGGAAGTATATTCCGCACAATCCAGAAGCACAAGCGATAACAACGGACACAAATCAAAACGTATATATATATACAGCACAAAACCGTCCTTAGGAAAAGTTACAAAATAGCATACTAAAAGACACAACGGACCAATAGTATTTAAGATTCTCCGAAGTGGGAAATACGACATGAAGGTGACAAGAGCGCTTTCGGCGCGAATATCCTCTACTCTTATCGGCCATGTTTCACTGCCATAAGGTAAAATGGAACGAACTGCTGTGTAGTAAACGCGTCCTTTGGTTGATAGACGGATATCTCGCCTACGCCATAAATGACGCGAGTTGGCAAAAGCTAGTCGAGCCTTCTGTATCCGTGCTGAGATTTCGTCACACACCAGACCAGAAGGGCTGATGAGAATTCCAAGATAAGTGAAGCGGTCGACACACTCAACTACTTCACTCCCTATCACTAGTTCGGGTGTCGATGTAACCCAATCCTGAAGCAACATTTTGCATTTCGAGGGAGAGAATCACATGCCGAACATGCTTGCATTGTTGCTTAGAGTGATCAGAAGACTCTGCATTTTGTTAGGGAATATTGTAGAATATCAAAATAGTAACATAAAGGATTATAAAAAGTCTACGTCAGAATCATACACTCAAAAAGAATTCATATTTAATCAAGTACTTGCCATGATAATATTGCCCACATTTTATCGCATCATTCCCCATCCAATTCATGATACTATTTACTCCTATGTACCTATGTATGTTTGCTACTTTATTATTCAGTCAACTATAATTTTAGTTACCATATTGATATGTGAAAACTTCATTGTATCGATTTGTCATACTTTTTCTTTTCAATCTTCACTATGACAATACACATTGGCATTTAATCGATTTCGTCGAAACAAGCATGTATCTCCTTTAAGGAACCATTATACTTTCTTCTCAGTGACATTATTCATAACAAGTTCATTAACCTTATTAGTTATGTAAAACACACATATATATATATATATATATATATATATATATATATATATATATATATATATATATATATATATATATATATATAGATAGATAGATAGATTACTATTACAATTTAGACCGATTTGAGTAGTTTAATCAAGTGAGTTCAGAGCATTTGATGGATTCAAAGATTATCTTCTAAGCAAAGATGAATAGTGGCTAGTATTGGAAACTAGGATGCGTATTTCATCCTAATTGAGACTCGTCAATTAGGATGTACTTATATTTCAGAGTTGATGTTCACTTTGAAACTCGAACCCAGCGCCGTTCTCTTCAAACGCCATCATATTATCCACTTAGCCATTGAGTCCTGATAATCGCTTGCTTGTGCAATGGAGTGTTGTTTAAATTCATTTGGTATTGTTTACTTAGTTCTTTTTATTGATGTTTAGGACTACAATTGATCAATCTGTTCTAATCATCAAATTCTGATCAACTATCCAAGTCAATAACAAAAGTAGTCATATATAACCTACTGATTCACTTCATGAGATAGCCAACGGAATCGGTTAATCTTCTCGCTATCTACTAATTACAATGAACTTGAAAGTTATGAATGTAAATCATTAATTTTTACATTGCTGATTAATCATTAGACACTGGAAAGTACTGTATTATAGCTGCTTCATCTTAGAATATAACATCTTAGTCTCAAGATCTTGACTTCATACCTCATTAAGAATACAAATACATTCAGTTATGGATATCCCATACAAGAATGATGCAATTATAAAGTGTTTCTAGAATCCTAATCATGATCTAACTGTAAACCATTCAAAATCAATCAATCAATCAGTCAACTGAAAGATCAAGTTACTCAATAACTTACCTCCACAATCCTCCGCTTGATAACCAGCAATGAAAACCACAATAAATATAATGAAGATTCTTGATATTCTCATGTTATTCAATGAAATCGAAGAGAATTATAAACAGTAGATGATCAAAAACGAAAGAACGATTCAATGTATCAATAAGACTTATCATTTATGTTTGATCATTTTATAACCGAAATTCATAAATGGTATGCATTTCATTGTCTTGATACAATTGTCCAATCAGATGTGAGAAGTAACAAGGTCGTTCAGCTCATATACGATTGGTTATTGATGAAGAATGGTTCTTTTTTTGGTTGAGATCATGAATTGATGTTAGACCAGCGTTGGAAACCTGGAAGCACTGGGCGGCCGTTTCGTCCTAGTATGGGACTCCTCAACAGTGGGCATCCACGATCCCGCACCCCGCGGGATTCTAACCCAGGACTTACTGGCTTAGCGCCTGAGCACTTAACCATTAGACCACTAAGCCGGCATCCAATGGTGTTAGTGTCTAACATCAACCAATCCACGAAATTGAGCAACCACATTCCATTGTTGTTGCTCAGGCTATGATTATTCTTTAAGTTGTGAATTGTTTAATTAAAAAGCTTCCATTATCTCTTTGGATATATTTCAATAAGAATTAAGTTAATAGAACTATATCATAACTAATTAACTGGTTGTTGATTATTGTCCATTGGTATGTGTGACTTTTGTTGGTAATTGAAATAGAATCATGTGAATTCATTAGTGTTATAATTTGTTGTTTAAATGCTTATTGTTTTTTTGGCTCTTTTTAATGCTACTTTTTATATCTGGTCGTCGTTGATTGTTATGTCGGAAACACTTATCACTTATACTTGGAACGAGGGACTTCTGCAATTCCAATGACGCGAAAAGTAAGAACACAGAGACTGGTATATGTGATGATGTAGTGTCAGTTATTATGCCAAGCCCATATACCTTATTCTAGCTTCCGGACATCCCATTTTAGTCATTCTACTCGAGCCATACTTTGACCTTGTCAATCATTTGCTTATCAGTCTTGACTGTTTTTATATGAGCGTATATGTGTGTGCCCTTCTTATCCCATTAATCACATGTCTGCAGTTTATTTTGTCTGCCTATAAATATTGAGTAACGCTTGACTAAAATGGAGTTGGCTTCCCAGCCATCTTCCCTGTGTGTCATCTTGCTTTGCTCTGTTTCAATCGCTTCATATACAAAATATATGTATGCACATGTCAATTCACGTTATTTGACCTATTTAATTCCGTTATTGATTAACGTGATTTAAGTCGACGATGATATACGAGAATAGGCGATAACAAACATTCTTACGATCTAAATAGGAGTCAGATCTATGGGCCACTAAGATGGTGAGCCCTTCAACGAACATCGTCTGATCAGAATGACGGCAAATAAAGGGGACCCACAAAAATGGTCAGCCCTTCAACGAATATCGTCGATCTAAATGAGGGCAAAATCAAACTACGGGCCTCCACAATGATTTATTAAACCCTCCCCCCAAAAAAACGTCGACAACGACGGCGGCGACTCTAGTCGAAAATACATTCATTTACATATTGATTGTATTCCCATTTTGATTAATAATTATGATGAAATGACAAACTGAGCATAGTTCTAATCAATGGAATACAAGAATATCTGACATATTATACAGGATAGAATATCATACGAGAAAAGAAAGCAAATACTGCACTGAATGATCATCACATTGAATCAGAACGGAAGTAATCTTGAACCAAAACTCATAATGAGTAAATCAAATCGGAAAATTGACTTTTCTTTCTATCATATCAATTAAGTTTCATGACTTCTCATTAACTTTTAACAAACACTGACATGTATTAAAGTGTGATATTAAGCGATGAATCAATCGATATTGATGATGGAATAAATTGGTATAACAATAACTGTGTAAGAATAGGTTTTAGATCATTTGAAGATGGAAATTAAATGAAGTCCAGAAACAAATAAGATGAATTATGTGATCATTATAAAATTTGTAAATGGTGGAGAAGATTTGTAGCTCAGGGGGATGATTTTGATGGAGTTTTGTTCCGTGAACTGGATCGTTTGGTTGTGGAGCTTTCATCGTTCTTCTGAACGACATCATCAGCATAAACTTCAGATAGAAGTGAAGTTTTCGGATTCATCCATATGCGTTTCACAGCTTGTTCTGTACCAATCAACGTCCAGGTGTAAAGGACAAGCTGTGAATCACATATGCAGAAATTCGAACATTTCACTTCTACCTGAACTTTGTACTGAAAATATCATTCAGAAGAACGATGAAATCTCCACAACCAAATCATCCAATTCATCCACCTGAACTACAAATCTTCTCTATCAACACTAAAATATCTAAGAATACAAACAAGTAGATCTCAGACAGAATCATCTTGATACATCGGAATGTTTTGTTTCACTTTCACTATTTAAACATATGTTCATTTGTCAGTTACTCATCACAATTAAATCATATACGTAGTTACAAAATAAACTCCGACTGGAGTCCCTCCAGTAGCTACTGCCGGTCCCAAGCACGGATAAACGAGGAGGGTTGTGCATAAGGGTTAGCGTCCCCATCCCTTAGAAAACTAACTCGCTAAAAAAAGCGCTAACCAGAAAAATAAGTTACAAAATAGTAAGCAAATAGTATAAATGAATAGGAAGTAAACAAGTGTATTCATTGTAGTGATGAAATCTAGTCAATAGTTGAAAATACAAAAGTTATGTGAAACATAAATAATTAGATACTCATATTAGTTGCCAGGTGATAATATCGGTAATTAAAAAAACTGACTTGTATGACCTTGTTCCTGTGTTAAAATTAATGGCACATCAACTAGTATTAGAAGTCATACATGAACTCTGAATTCTTATTGTTTCTTAATATAGTAACTTCTTAATCAGAACCTGATGTTGAGTTCAGAGAACACTATCAGATTCTATGACATGAATTGTATATTTCACATATTATACATAGTTTATATGTAAGTTGATTGAACTGATTCACACCAGAACATATTTCAAAACAAATATCAGTTATTGAGGATCAAGTCAAAAGTGATGAGATCGAATCCGATTATGAAACGATTTTATTTACTATATGACGACTATAAGCTAGATGTACCAAGTTAGCGATGTGTATTGTCTTGTTCTTGTCTACCTCCTTTCCAGTTTAAGCTGGAAAACAATTATTCATTCGTTGGATAAGTTCCCTGGTAGGATATACAATATAGCTATCTGTACAGGAGCAGTTGAATTTCCCTCACTAATCTATTATGCAGGATAATACAAACCACATCCTCTTCAAATGGTATTCTTAAGAAAAGAGCATTTCATACGAATGATTAATATCTCCAACTTATTTTTCTTCACATAGATATACTTCTCAGATAGCTGTTCTCCATTAGTATGTTATGTACAAACTCCAACTCCTTCACTATGATTTTATCTGAGCAGATTGTATTTGTTCTATTTGTGAGTAATTGAACCAGATTTCTCCTGTAGCTGATGATTGTTTGTATGTTGGCAAGCAAAGGAGTTCTTTTTTATACATGATTATGTTTAACGAGATGTCATTCTATCAATGTAATAAGATGTCAAGGGAATTTAGTTCATCGTCACACCCGCCGTCACTAGTGAAAGTGAATCATTTCTATGTACCTAATCAATCTGTTTAACAAAGTACGTAACGATATACATTTGACTATGAAACATGAAGTCGATGAGAAACTTACCTTCATTAATATCTGTCTACATGAAAGTGTATACCCTTTGAAATTCATCGAAATGTATGCCATATCCAACTTACTTGTTAAATACGATGCGATGGAAAAGAAAATTTGCATTTTATATCTGCACTTCAAAGGAGATGGAATCGCTGGAATAAACAACCACATGATTAATGTAGCGATATTGGCTGGTTATTCAGCAGCAAGTCTGATGACACTATTGGAAACAAACTACTCACTGAAAAATTGATAGGTCCTCTATTCTTAGTAACTTCAACTGAATTTGCCAGCACACACACTGAAAGAATAGAAAGAGTACATATCCACATTTCCGAGTACGTTCCGAAGAATTTGGGACTGTGATTCTTAACGGCTCTAAATAGTGTAATAGATCAGTATTTAACTAATATCAGGTATACCATTGACATTTCCTAATCCTTCAAAATTTTTAGCAAACTAAACTAAATAGAGCGTCTCTTCGGTTTGCCTATGCGGTTGCAATAAAAAACTCAAACTTGATTTATGTGTCAAGAAAGTAACACTAATCGACTTAACACAACTTTGCTGAATTCATGGCTCTAATGTCACCTGGGATTATCATTTGTTTGTTGTTCTTACCAGTATTATAACTATTATTAAGTTTTAAATTAAGTTCGTGGAATGATTGAAGCTAGACCACCATGTAAAACCTGGAAGTACTGCACGACCGTTTCGTCCTATTATGAGACTCCTCAACTGTGCGCATATACGATCCTGCTCGCGGGATTCCAACCCAGAACTTTCAGTTTCGCGTGCGAACACTTAACCTACTGGACCACTGAGCCAGCCAGTATCCAATGGTGTTAATATCTAACCTCAACTAATCCACCAAGATGCGCGACCATCTTCCACTGTACTGAGGTAGATATCTGTATCTAACCGACACGGATTAGCCGTACTGGTGACCACTTCTCAGTAGAATTCGCAGAATTCCCTCACGAAGCTAGTCCCTAGTGAGCATATGGTAATTATCAGTATGAGGTTGTGGAGATTTTTAGGTTTTTGATTAAGATTGAGGTTAGGCGTTCGCCCGCGAGACCAAAGGTACTGAGTTTTCAATAATGGTCTAACATTAATCGGTTCGTGATCTTAATCCATTGCTAGCCATCATCTATCTCTGCTTACAATGCTTGTCACTTAAGAAAAATTTGGAAACAGCCCGAACCGAGTGCACATAGGCTAATAAGAGGCTGATCAATTTGCGATCCTAAACAAGATTGAAAGAAACGATAAATAAGTGAGTCATTTTTCTTTCAGTGATTTGAATCTAATGTAAAGTATTTAGAGCTTTTGATGGAGGATAAACTAAATTCCCTTGACCTTTTATTACATTGATAGAATGACATCTCGTTAAACATAATCATGTAT